GCGAGATGGAATCTGGCAACAGCATCGTCAAGCAGTTTCTAAACGGCTTGAAATCATATGAGGTCATGTACAAGGCTACCTGCCTGCAGACTCCCAAGGACGACATGTACTGCTACGCCAACGCTGTTACAAACACCACAACCGCCGCCAACGCCTACTTCTACTATCTCCCCTACAACCTCACTCTGCCTGGTAGTACCAACCCTTCATGCGGCTTCTGCACCCAAGAGACCATGAACATCTATCACGCCGCCTCCGAAGATCGTTCACAACCCGTCGCCCTTACCTACGAGGATGCAGCTCGACAAGTCAACACTCTTTGCGGTCCAGATTTCGTCAACAGCACCCTACCCCCAGAGGAAACCAGCGTTGCACACGCATTTGCCCCTTCTTGGGTTGGGTTGACACTCACTCTCGCCAGCGTTGCATTATTCAATGCTGTGTTATAGAACACCAATCCTGTGCAACGACATTTCAACCGCAATTATATTTTTCGGCCGATTTCTTAATCGGTTTTGTTTTAATACGTTACGACTGCAAATTCTACATGCCTAGGATTTGTGCCTTTTTTCACGATCGCAACTTGGCATATTTTATGACTTGATACCCTCGAATCCTTTAATTCTTTTTCTTCTCTTTCACCAATATGGCTTGGACAACTAAGCCATCGGTTATAGAGGCAGATTCGCTCTGCCATATTACAACCTATAATTTAATTTTCGACGAAGGATATACGCCTTCCGTCCTTCCCTCCCCCTTTTTTGCCATAATCTACTTGGCACCTTCTTTCACTGGGTTCTAGAAAGGATTGGTTTTGATTTTAGAAAGAAAAAAGCGAGCACAGCCCGGAGTTTCTTCACAGCGGCATTTATTGGTTACATCGGGTTTTTGGGCGGGTATGTGGTTGTGCCTGGGACATGATAGACAGACTGGGAAACTTTTGAGGAGCGGCAGGAATACCAACGAAAAATCGTGGAATAGAAGGACTTGGTTCTCTGTGTAGGAGGAGGGAGATATGATGATGGAACATATCGATGGCCAATTGTCTGCACAACGAGCATGATTCATTCCTATGAAGCTTGAGGAAAAGGATTTATGTAGAACATAGGCAATGGAGTATAAGAACGATATCAAAAGTATCTGTTAAATCGTTATTACGCCAATGACTGTGATTTGTTGCATGAGAAGTTTGACTGTTACATTGCCGTCGTGCCGAAGCTCATCTCATCTCATGGTTTGTACTTCTTATCGCAGTTGTCGTCTTCTCTTCCGACCTGTACTGCATACCGTGATAGATGTGATGCCAAGTTCAGGAAAGAAGAGGCAAGTTCTTGATTGATAGCCAACCTACTGAATCTTTCGTGACATACTGGGACTGCAATAGGTCTCATGTGACGTCCAAGCCATCATCAAAGGATAGACCAGAACAGTACTGGGTCAAGATGAGTCCAAAGTCGATGGATATCAGTCATCTTGCTCAAGGTGTGTATTCATTCGGTCATTCCTCAAAGGTTCAATTAGATCAGGAGGTGGAAGAATAGTCTTTTCTTGAATCAGGATTCTGATCAACTCTGGCATGGCATGTTCAGACTCACAGTAAGCCCATCCCGAAGTTGTCTATGGTCTACCAGTACCTTTCGAGATAACCAAGCCCAACAACCGCAATTGTCCTCCAACACTTTAACTTGAGCGATTGACGTAGACCGGCCGCCCTTGAACTTGATCAAATTTAACCTGACGTATCCTAATCTGACATCTGGCGTAGGTGACAAGCTTCAACCTGACGTCAATTGCGTATTCAGTTAACATCTACCGATGTCGATACAAACTGTAATGAGCCCAATGCGATTAGCGCTCAGGTCTTCTTACAGTAGTTTAAACTTAAAATTGGGTTTTAGAGTTTATGTCAAGCGGGTATAATTTACCCGATCCCTCGTGGCAAGCGATCCATAGTTCATGCTGTCGAGTGTTGGTTTCGTCTGTTATTGTTGTGTTGAACTTCTGGGACAATCGTTTTCAGATCACTAGTTTTTTTTTTCTTCAAGACAAATAGAACATCTATCTTTAATTGTTTCTATTTATCAGCCAGTGTGATCATCTTTGGACAGGCTTGATTAGCAACCTGAAGACTGTCGCGCTTCCAGCATGAGGGAGCACTACATGCTGAATACATGTTGACCAAAGGCAACCCTCAGCTGTTGGGCAAATCTCCAAAATACACATTGCAATGCAAACCAGCAGGCTGGGTCAGAGTGACATTCCCGATGTCGTGAAACGTAGCCAAGAAAAGAGCTCAGGCCGCGGCAACAACATAGGGGTCTGCGCACAGTACACATAGCCGATCCAAGGCCATGGAACTGGATGGCGCATTCATGCAAGGAGGCGTTCAGAATCCAATGTGATTCGGCTTGTTAGCAAACAATCCAAGTAAGACTGTGTGGCAATGTATCTCGATGTGAGTTGATGAATTTGTGTATTCTCTAAGCATACGAATTACCATCGAACAGTGACTACAGGCAAATAGTGAATATCTGTGTGAGTATATGCTGTCATGACGATTATGACGCAGCGCCTGATGGGCGATTCCAAACTACAAGCGAGTATCGGAATTTGGTTGTGGACTGGCGGTAACAGACGTAGCGCAGAACGGCAAAGCGGCAAAGCGACAAAGCGAGCTTTCATACGCGCCCCATATCAATTGAATCATAGGGTATCTGTACCCGGACATAAGACTCAACAACATGACATGTCATAGACTCTAGGTAAGTTGGGGCCCGAGTCGTTTGCCAGTCAGAACAGAGTGCGCGAAAAGGGCACCCATTTCCGTATCTTAACGAATCAAGTTGTAGGCTAGTTAGTGACTTAACTAAATGTGAGAAAGGGTGCGTAGCTAACTAACCAAATACCCAATGTATGGTGGCATTTGGCTGGTTGTCTGGTTGTTCACCCAGGCTCCGGGTTCATGGGGAGCATCTCGCGAATCGAGCGGACATCGAACATCGTACCGCTATAGTCCACACTTGTGCGGTACCCGTACTGTATGTTGAAAATCGTGGGCGATGCCCAGGGAAACTGGAAGGCGACTTGACACGAGTCAGAAATGAAATTAGTTGCAAAGAGCTGACAAGTACTTTAGCTAAAAAGCAAAATTGTGGCACCACGATTATGTTCGGTGCAACATTGGAAAGGTGATAGAGAGAGGATCCTGATGTTGTTTCTTTAGAACGCTATGTTGTGAAAGATATACGCCGGATATAAAGTCGCATCGTCATACGCACTCCTGGCATCACAGGCCCCGCCGTGGAATTTGCGAGCCTCCCTCATCTCCATTGGGGTTTTTGAGAGAGCCAAGTTTGTGGGAGAAACTCCTGTACAGATGTGCAGATGTGCCAATCGACAATCAACGCTGCTCCCGTTGACGAAACGGCACGGAACGCAAGACAAAGTAACGGTTGCATTGAGCGAGGACCAAGTATCCTGTAGCCATTTGGGTATGGGTGGCCCATGGCAAGTACAATAAACGCGGTGGCGTTGACGCCAGTTTTGAGCGCCTAACAGCCAACAAGTATCCGTACCTAAACTTGGCGATCAAAGTACCGATCGTAGTTTTTTTTTAGTAGAACCATAATAGGACGTGACTGCATAAGACAAGAACTGCACTGTCTCTTTTTGGACGTCTCTATCAGTTCGGCTAGAAGGTTTCAGTGTTAGTGCTGCACTCTACTGTAATTTGCCATTTCAGAGGAAATGATCCGTGGACATCGCAGATCAGAGACCGACATCAATAGAAGTCAACCCGGGTGTGATGATACGGACGCGCGTGACAGATGGCAGTTGACAGCTGCCATCGGCTTTTAGTTAGTCCTGTCAATGGCTTCCAAGCTGAGGCCAGCACAAGATAACCTTTGGGTTAGCTTTGCTAAGTGCCTTAATTAGACACGAAGGAGCTACTGCGAGATTGAGCTCGCAGGTATTGTCTACACAACGACTACCTAGTCCAGTGGCGGTTAGGTAGTGAGATGCAAGTGACGGTCTCAGCAAGTTACTTACGTCTAGGTAAGGAAGGAGATGAGGTCTCCCTTCCCAGTTACCTGACACGCAGGCGAGAGTGGAATACAGGAAAGAACATCACATTACGAATCGCCTGTTTCTGTTTGTGAAGGCAGGTAATACCTACCGACCCTTCTAGCCTTCTATGCAATGAGCACAGATCTCTCTCTACCTTAAGGTAAGTAAGTACCTATGAGATGGAGGTAGTGGATCTCATCTCTCACTTTTCCCTCCGAATCATTACCTAGATTCAGATCTGTTCTTTACTTAAGCTATCGCCATGGTAGCTTGGTTGATCATTGTGCTGTTAGCTTTTGAGTGTTTCTGAATGTCAGATGGTAGGTATCTCTTTTCGATGATCGACCCGCCCGGGTCCACAGATACCCATCTTAGGTCACCTACGGATACCCTACCGTGTCTACTTGTAGTACGGTCCTTACAGAACACTCGCCTCGCATCTGCGCCGTCACTCTGTAGGACGTTCAACATCCTGGACTCGTTACTGCATGCTTAGCGTGCCTGCGCACGCAACCCAGAAGATACAGCAGGTACTTTGTGGTCCAGTATCGTCTTCGCTAATGTTCTGCTTTGCTCTATCCAGCCACTCACATGTTTTGTTGCTTTCCCTTGCGACATACACAGGTATGCTTATTGTCTGTTCGTACCTGATATTGGCTGTGGTCCGAGAACAAAGAGGCTAAGACGATGCAAGTGGTATTCCATGCCCAGGGCAAGTTTCTCTACCAGGTACTGCTTCGAAATTGTCTAATAAGCCCTTGTGTACCTTGTTAGATACCGTCCCCCCTGCCGTCCCCCCCCCCCCTTCCCTTAAGTCATTGTCCATAATTAACAACTACCGTTCTTTAATCCATATATCGAATCATATCTGCGGCTCGGGCTTACAGAGCATTGCTTTCAGACTCACTTGACCGGCGTCGACTGTTCTTCACTCAGGTCGCTATCGTCACCAGATCGACAAACTCAGCTCTGCCGCCATTAGTCCTCATCCGACACCTCAAAGCAATATTAACTATATTTAAAGTTCACTCACTTCTACGTGGTGTCCGCCTCAACCGTCTGAAACCCTTGGCTTCGAGCCATTTTTGTTCGTGGCTGCGATCTGACGGCGTTGCTGGTTATACATCTCGTCACGTCTGGTTCATGAGCAGCGAGTAATTTCTTTTTTTTTGTAGTCCTCGCATCTACCTGCGCTAGACTCGCCTCTTGTCATTATCAGATTGGCCTGTACGTGGTGTCCTATCTACAGGTCCTGTTCTGGACTGTCATATCTCTGCTGCAGGCTTGCTCAGGCTCGGCATAGACCAAATCCGGTTCTCTGTGGGTGTGGGTGGTGGTCACGACTCGCCCACTTTGTTTCTCCATATTGTACACCGCAAAACTCCGGTTGCCCACGGCATCTCAATCCTACATCACTATACCTTCCAGGCGCTTACTGCACTGCAGCGTGCGTCGTGTCGCCTCTTTCTTTCGTTTTTTTTTTCTCATTCTTTTTTCTTCTTGTTGCCAGGCATCGTCGTGTGCTTATCAACATTCCCAGTAACCCCGGTATCCCCCGTTGATGTGCCTGTCTCACATAAAGACTTTGATTTATCTCAGTCAATAGCATTTCTCTAGACAGACGGCCTCGTACATTTACTCGATAGATCCGTCTCATGTCACCTCTAGGTACAGTGCCAATCTAGCTGCCACTCCCCTCCATCGCCCACACAGTGGAACCGCCCGCATTCCGTCTTACAGCCGGCTCCCTGGAAGTGGTGGGCGACGTGCTGGGCCCTTCCTGTCTTTTGTCTTTTCTGGCTTGAACCATCCTACGTCCTCATTGGACATTGCAGAAGGGCTTGTATGGGGTACCTGGTCTATGTAAGTTCACCATCGACGCAAGCGATCTGAGCCGCCACCGACCTCCACGAAGCTAATAAGTTCGACAGCTAGCACTCTTCTTACCACACTTATAACTTCATAATAGTCCTCTCCGACCCCCACGACGTCTATGTTTCTTAAAGGCGTGAGTACCGCCTAGATCTCACTACGACCACCAGCGAGCACCCAGATCATGTCGGAAGCCATGCCTCTACCATACACAACTGTCACGAGCTGGGCCCCGGGCACGTATCACGGTCCTCGAGGCCCAGTACATCCTCAATCCGTGCCTCCGTATGAACACCAGTATGAACACCAGCTACACCATCCGGCAAGCTATAACGGCGGTGCACCTGAAAACCGTCGCCCTTCTCAGATCCATCCCGAGCAACACCCAAGGACTGGCCATGCCTATCAGTTGGTTGACATGCAGAGCTCTATTCCGCAACATCCATACCCCCCGCCGCCGCTCGGGGTACACTCCCACTATTCTGCTAGCAACATGGCCGATTATCACGACAGATTGGGCAACGGGCAAGATCATCGCTCGAATCGCCCTTCACTGTCGCACTCAGCGTCAGGGGAGCAGCCATATTCATTGGCAAATGGTCAGCCCATAGCAACAAGCGATGTGCAGCTTCCGCATTTTACGGGTTATCGGTTCGACCCAAGAGCTTCAACTGTCAGTGGACCACATGATCTGGCCAGTCCTATGATGTCTCCTACCGAAACACGACCGGATCATATGAGAATATCGGGTCTTGTTGCTTCTGGTCGAAGTAGCGGGGGACCCATGCATGGTAGCACACAACCATCTGGCATCTCATACAGTCTTAAAATACGACAACAACCGTTGGCGGCTAGGTCGTGTGGCTTTGGCGAAAGGGACCGAAGAGTTATTGACCCCCCTCCAATCATTCAACTTCTCATCGAGGCTCCAAGCCTTAGCAAAGACGAAATTTCCCAACATCTACGATACCCCCATTATGTTATGAGCTGCTCTATCATCGATGAGACAGGTGCCCGTGACGCATCTTTCATGCCTGAGGAGTATCGGCAACAGCGTAGACTTATGGGATCGTTAGTGGCCGGTTCCTTTGTTGGCAAAGATGAGCACGGCGAAGAAGGAACTTTTTTCTGCTTTGGGGATTTATCTTGCAGGACTCCAGGGTCGTTTCGACTCAAATTCAGCATGGTCAAAGTCGATCCTGGTCGCGCAGCAGAAGTAAAACGTTGTCCCAACCTTGCTGCAGTTACAAGTGAAGTTTTCACGGTCTACACAGCAAAGGACTTCCCAGGCATGCAAGCGAGCACGAAACTAACGAGACGGCTCAAAGAGCAAGGATGCCTCATTTCCATTAAGAAAGGGAATGATCGATCCAAGAATGCTAGAAGCCATGACGATTCAAGCGAGGGAGATGACGAAGTCGAGATGGCGGCACAAAGCAAGAGACGGCGGCGCTCCACACGACAATAGGTATACTATGTGATATATGCGGCGTTATTTGATATTATAGGGGCAGTACATGCCATGCATACACGACCAAGGCTGGGGCAATATGGCGTTTTCTAAATTAATGATGCTGCCTCGGTGTTTCTATATCGCGTTCTAGAATTAAGAATCGGGTACGCTCATCATGCAACGGGCTTACTTTGTACCAGCAAGGCACTTCTTGGATAAAATAATGGTATTCTATTTGCTGGCAAGGGTCGTGTGCCTTTTACGTCTATGGTGGAAGAAAGGGCTAGTGCTCAGGCGACTGCCTCCTTAACTGTCCTCTCTCAACCCTAACCCCCGAATGAGTGTTTGTGCTCCTTACCGAGTTGGCTCCCTTGGGTTGCCGACTCCAATCCAAGAAAGTATGTTACCCCAGTAGGCCCTCGACCGGTTACAAGACCACGGGACTATCTAATTGGAGCATTCCCCGTGTGTTTCATACCGTTGTAGGGAGACTAGAGTACTCCTCATTTTAGCTGTTGGTCCAAGTTTTGGGCGAATGATCACGCAAGAAAACCCTGGAAACAGCCGTGACAATAAGATATTGGCATCCACATGCGACTCAACAGCCAACAACCGAATGTAGCGAGATTTGTGGGAGCAAGTTGTCTGGGAGACATTCACCTTGTGATGCGATTGGATCCTATTCGTATATGCCAGCAACCTGCAGTGCTTGGGCATGAAGTTGAAGACAGCGTGAAGTCCATGATGCGAGAGGGGAAGGCAAAGTCTTTGGTATATGGGATTACGGAATAAAATTACATTCCACGGCCGCTGCGGATGAAAATATGGAGAATCGACTTCCTCGTTCGTCCACGAACAGAATACATTTAAGACAAAAAACGAGGTACATAAGTCGTTGGACATGACATGTCAGTATCATAACTCACACTTGCATGTGCATAACAGAAATACACTCGATCAGAAGGGTACAAGGTGTCACTGGTGGCTTTTGTAAGTCAACGGGGCTATTTTCAACCCTCTCAAGCTCACTGACCTCGCCCAACAAAGAAGGAGGTAGGGAGACTAGACGAGAGGATATCCTGGTGGTTGGCAACCACAATACTACCCTACTTTAAGTTGATCGGCAACTAACTTAGCGTGGAGATGGATGTTTTCGCCTAGGGGAAAGGTAGCCTAGCTACCCAGTCAGACAAGCAAGGGTCCCATCTGGTTACACAAGACACAGCAAGGCGACGAATCAGCATCCCTTAGAGTCTCTTGGCAACAGTTCTGATTATTCCCACGATACCTGCATTCTCATGATCAACTAACCCAATTTAGTTTATATCTTGGTCCATTCAAGGGGCAAGTGAACCACTCGAACTGCTCCTCCGACCAACGTTCATGAGCGATAATTGACGCTGATACAGATACTAGTGCGAGGTAAGGGAGCTCAATAGCCTCATTTTATTTTGTCTTCAAGGTATCAGAAAGAAAATGGGGAAGCGAATAATTGACGCTGTTACTGACCAATTGTAGATCTCGGAGATCTGCAAGTCGTACCAGAATAAGCGACATGCTCTACGTTATTGAAGATCCAACCCGTTAACTGCCTGACAACCAAAAGAAGGGGAGTCTTGCGAGTGAATTGCTTTTGACGCAGGCCGCAGCCCTCGGCCGATTGCGGAGAACAACTGAGTCGAAATGTGAACGATCATATCATACTGCAACATTCCAATCCTTTCTACATTGATTGGTGCACGAGCGACATGCAGACACAAGAGGCCCGGTCGATCAAGGAAGGCTTTCTAAGAACTACGCTGGTTGTTCGGCTAAGCAAAGCCCGGCATAAGTTGAAATCCTCTAAGATATACCGGACGTCAAGAAACTACCATGCGGTTAAGGCATCTCGATGATACCCTCCACAGACTTTACAAAAGGAACTCCTTTCGGTTTTGGAAGAAAAAATGTGTCAGATTGATACTTTACAGGGAGGGGTGATCAACCCCATCTGGCCTCACAGACCAGAAATGGCACTCAACTCGCAAGAGAAAGTCAGTTCCCCTTGAATCCACATGACCAAGTCGCATGTCTCCGGAGAAATGTATATTTCGTAATAAGCCCGATTGCCACGTCGTACGAGTCTCTTTCCAGAGTGGTTGTCTCAGACCAGACTGCAACTTCAATTTGCTTCTTGGCGCGAAGCGCTATTTTGCTGCACTCTTCTATACTTGAACAGGATGTATCTATACATATATCTCCAATATTGTGTCAGAAATGAGGATCTCCCAGAGAGATTTACTATCAGGCCATGACTGCATATGCACCGCACGAGAGTCTACCCCCGTGCATCTTGAATCGTGGGGCAAGACGTCGGAAACGGCATCAAGAGGCTTCTGTGGCTTGTATGCGCATTGAGTGATATGCACATGCATACAGACATGCAGGAAACTTGATACGTGCACGTCAGTGGTCCAATTATGTCTCGGTTTAAGTCAACCCGTCCATATAAGGGCTCTGTATGCTGTTCTGGAGGCAAATGTCTTGGCCTGTTGGTGGCGTCGTTACTATCGCCCACCCAGCCGACCTGCCGATATAGGCCTTAAGAAACACCAAGGGCTTCATGTGTGGTGATGCGAGAATGAAGAATAGGGGAAGAAGATTACAAAGCTACCTTTTGCATATTCGTTGTTATGCTGTCTTGTTTTCCAAGACAGTTATGCATAATGGTGATCATGAAATACAAAAAGCAATCACCTTGAAAGGACCTCACCGAGGCACGTAGTCGGAGAAACGAAATAAGTAATATATGCAGCTCCAACACAACACATTTCGTACAACTAAAGATATGAACAAAACCGCATCAAACCGCCGAGCCTCCTGTCGAGGACGTCGGCTGCACTCAGCCACTTAAGTCAAGACACTCGATGCCAAGCCCGTAACTAGGAACATGTTCTATTCATTGTAGTTGCCACTGTACTATGTGCCTTATCACGTTCCAGTGTACAGATCTAACATTTCTTGACGGTTATCGAAACTCATACGTAACTCACAAGGGGATATAGACACTCATTCAAGACATCTGTACCGTATTTACAATCAAGAGTGAAAGCGCTTGGTATCTATCTATATATATTCCCTCATTTTCCATAACAGTGGATAGATATGAATACATGTTATGCAGCATCTTCATGGCCCTGCGATTCACCCTGCTGGATTTCTCAGGGCCT